GGAGGGAAGACTCCTCTACACTGAATGCTTGTGTAGGAAAAAAGAACTATTTACAGGGGTCAGGCAGCAAAGTAAAGATCAACATTGCCAAAATTCCTTCTTCTACACAACTATAAAAGCTACAGGAGTGCTCTCCAGTTTTCAGTCTGGCAACCCCGTGCCGTCATTCCTGCAGCGCTCGAAAAATGATACGGCGGCAGAAACGCACTCTTGCCGTAGACTTATCTTTGCAACTGGCAAAAATCCGTGCCGTTTTTTTTTTCCTTTCCAAAAAGGGGAAAAAGGAGGCACCCTCTGAAAATCACCCTGGTTTCAATTTAGAAAACTCCCGCGCCTAGGCACACGCAGACATGCACAAACAATGGGCGGATTACCTCGTCCGGACCCGAGTTGTTATCTGTTAATTGAGGTGATTCGAGGGCACAGGTGGTCTGTCTCGGGAAATAAGCCTGGGAAATAAGGGGATGAGACAGACTAATGCTAGAGACAGACAAGTTTTAAAAAATTAAGAGAGCTGAAGGGGTTTTGAAAGTTTTTTGGGGGGGAGGAGGACACACGCTCCCGTTTTTCCAAGGCCAAAGGGGTTTCAGAGATCTTCCGGTCCTGCAAAAAAAAATCCTACCTTTTCCTATTTGACCAGAGATAAAAAGGGAAGGATGAGAAATGGGGGATGTAAACATAACCAAAAGGGAATCCCCTTCCACAAAGCCCTTTGCTGACTCTCTTAAAACTATTGCCAATCCATTAGGACATCCTTTTCGGCTCTTGTTGGCTAATCCACACAGAGGAAAATGGGAGCAAGTCACGAGTTTCACTGCCTTGCGTGGCGCAAAAGTGTTATAAATGGCACACGTTTCCAAACAAGTCTTACCACAACACAACAGCTGCCATGGCATATTCTTTCCACAACCAAAACACCCTAAAATCCCTCGGCAAGCTGAGGGATGTTCCAAAGTTTGGACTACAATGCCCAGAATCCTCCAACCAGTGCTGGCTAAAGGATTCTGGGCACTGCAACCCATTTTTAGGAATATCCCTCCTCCAGCTCTGGATTCTCTTTAATCCAAGCACAGCCTTCTTCAACTGGGTGCCCCCCAGATAGGTCTGCTGGGGATGATGGGACTTGTAGCCCACGTTGAAGAATGGTTGAGAAAGGATGCTTTAGCATCTCCAATCTGCCCCGTTGCCTAGTCCGATGCAACCAAGTTCTTTTGCATGGGTGTCTAGAAGCTTCCGATAGCACATGGGTCATCTTCTCCTGTACCCCCTCCTCTCACCCTCCAAATTAAGTTACACTTGGGTGTATGGTCTGAAATAATGTTTCGCTCAGGATGCATCTACATTGTAGAAATAATGCAGTTTGGCACCACTTTAATTGCCATGGCTCCACACTACAGCATCCTGGGATTTGTAGTTTGGTGAGGCACCAGAACTCTTTGGCTGAAAAGGCTAAAGACTTTGTCAAACTGCAGGTCCCAGGATCCCCAAGGATGGCACTACAGCACTTAAAGTGGTATCAAACTGCATTATTCCTCTAGTGTAGATGCACCCCCGGTTTGTACGATCACTTGCGTCCTTCCTGGGTCCTTTCCAAAAGGACTCAAGACATTCAAAAACTTATACCACCCACAGAATATACACATGTTTCAACATTGCCTCAAAAAAAGCAATACTTTGTCAGTTCATTATTTCAAAACTGAAAAAACAACCCCAAGCCTCTTTTTCTTTTGGTAAGTTTTCCTGCTCTCTGACTCCCCCAGATCTTACTGAAGGAATTTTATTTTTTGTCACTTTCTTTTTTCTACCCTACCTGCCTGCAGACCAGGGTGAGAAACATGCCAGCCTTTCATCTGGTGTTGGACTGCAACTCCCATAATCCCCTGCCCCTGGATAAATTTGCAAGGGCTCCTGGAGACTACAGGCACAATTTCTAACACCTCACTCAAATCTGCCTGGCATCTGTTCACACTCCATTATGATACCCTTTTAACTGCCAGGGTACCATCCGATGGATTCCTGGGGTCTGAAGAAGCACTAGAGCTCTCTGGCTGAGAAATCTAACTACAAATCCCAGGATTGCACACGTTACTTCCATGGTAGTTAAAGTAGAACCATAGCACTATAATCATGGAGGTTGAAAGGCTAGAGCACTTTGATCCCACTTTAACTACCATGGCAATATCATGTGGAATTCTGGGACTGGGAGTCAATGAGAAGTCTGTCTCCCAAACTACAAATCCCAAAATTCCATAGCACAGAACCATGACATTGCTGCACTTTTAAAGGTAAGAGTGTTTTGTTCTGAAATCCAGTGACTGGGAACTCTATAAACAAGACAAACAGAAGACAGGCAGAAAAGAGAGTTGGATGTGGTACACTGGACTACAAATCCCATTGTCCCCCAGCCAGTTTTTGTTTCTCATGGGGTAGGAAAACGTGCACACTCAGTTATGGGTGCTTGCCACCCAAAAAGACTATGAAGGTGACTGTTCAAACCAAGAGCAGCTGTTTCTCTCCAAACTCCTTCCTTCAGTTCCTTCTGAAGGAGATCCGGCACTCCGTTTACCGTTTGCTTTCGTCCTTTTCTGCTCTTCTCCATCGGTCTCTTCAGTCATCAGAAACAGACAGTTGGCTGAAGATGGGGAGCCGGCGCCCCAAAGGTCCCAGACCGGGAGATTCAGAGCCACTGCTGCCACCAGAACTCCCCGAATCTTCCTGATCCGAGAGAGAATCTGCAGAAAGACTCTTCTGGAGCACCAAGAGGTTAGGAAAGGCAAATGGGGCAGACGTCACCAGGGCGGTTTCGCCGGTGCAGAGGGAACAGGCTGCAGATGGCTGGGTGACGGCGTTGCAGGGAAAGAAGGATTTGGAAAGGTGGAGGCTCGGAGGAGCTGCCGGAGAGGTAGAGGAGGAAGGCAGGGCTTCCATGGAGTACCCTCCAGCGCTGAGCCCATGGCACAGGAGCTGGGCACTCCTGGGCCGCACCAGGTGGCTTTGGGGTGGTGTCCGGCGCTCCTCTGCGTTATGGATGAAGTGGCAACGGGCACCGTATGGGCAAATCCCAGAAGTGTGGAAAGTACGGCAAGGCTCCGTCTTGTACTTGGGGTGCCGGTTGAGCCCCCTGAGCTCGCCAGCACCGTGGGCAAACTGGCACTTGGCGCCATACTTGCAGGATCCGCTCTCCTCAAAGGTGCGGCACAGCTCCGTCTTGTAGCGGGAGGAGACCCCCTTGGCTTCGCCGCGGCAGCCCTCGATCAGGCTCACGGAGCGATCCGCTCGGAAAGGGATCTCTTGCAGGCTCGTGCGGGGCAGCTCCGAGTCCCGGCTCCACGGTCCTTGGAGGGGCCACACGGAGTCACCCTGGTCGGAGATAGCATGCAGGGCAATGGCGTCATCCAAGTGGTCAGAGGCGCCCCGGCTAGAAGCCGAGAGGGCCACAGGGCAAGCCGAGAAGGCGCGCTGGAACCCCGGTGGTGTCCTGGCTTCGGTTTGGATGTCTTCATCCACATTCAGACTCAGGAAAGTCTATGAGGAAAAGATAGGGAGGAATGTGTGAACATGGGATTGCTTAACCAGCGGGGTGGGAGGCAAACCGGTATCGCTTGAACCCATTGATCTATTATGTGAAAAAGTACCACCACCACCAACAAATAAATCAATACCTTTTAAAGGATAATTTGGCTCTCTTCATGCAGCACATGAATGGTGGAACTCTCTGCCACATGATAATTTAACTTAATTCTAATGATAAACTTTGTGTATGTTTTTAATTATATCTTGTATGAGCTTTTATTGGTATTGGTTTTAAAGTTTTGTAAGCTGGTTGAAGTCCCAATGTTTTGTAGAAAGGCAGGAAAATAAATAAATGAGCAAACAAAGAAACAGACAGACAAAGATGATGTGATGAAGACTGCCAACTGGGGTGGCTTTAAAAGGAGCTTGCACATATTTCCAATTTCACTTGGTCTTCCCATTTGGCTCAGGCAAAAGCAAACTGCTGCAGCCACTTCTAGCTTGCTGATTCTTCCTTATTAACAATTTTTGCTAGCTTGACCAATACTCTGATGTTGCACGGTTCCCAATTTTCACCCCTGAAACTGTTGTAGGGCATGCAATTGTTCAGGAAACGGAATCCGCCTGGGATGCAGCTTAGGTCTCCCCTACTGAGCCGGCTTTTTTAAAAAGTGCATCCTTTCCCAGATAAAACCTTGATGCAAAAATGGCCTGACCCCAATGGCTTTATCGCCCCAGAGAGGACCATATGCCACAGGCTAGTAGCCCTGTTGCCAGGGAAACAGACAGGAGGGACAAAAGGAGGCAGGATGGAGTCCTCTGCCCATCATCGCCCGCAAAGCATCCCCAATATGGATGGAAATTTCCACACTTGGGGCCTGAATACCAACACACAGAGAAAGAAAAACCTCCCCCCCCCCAAATGCAACACCGTACAACTTCCTTCCTCTGTAGATAAGGTTTCCTGCATGCAAAGCACCCTGATGAGTTGCAAGATAAGTTTTAAGATTGTTTGCTTCAAGAAAAATAAGCCATGCAGTTGTGGCTTCCCTCCCCTCTTTTGTTTTGGACACTGTCTTATAGCTTTGGCCACAAAAGCCAAGCTGCCAGGATTGGCCCTGAACTTTGCAAAAGTTCCTTTTTGAGGGGAGGAGAGGGGTTTGCAACTCTCAGAGTCCTCCAATGCTCCCTCTGGGAATTTCAGGGCAACAAAAAGAGAAAAAAGAGGGAGGATATTTTCGTCCAAAACTCAGTCCAAACCTAAACAAATAAATATGTCCAACTCTAAATAAATAAGAGTACTATATGTATATATCCTGGCTTTTTCCTGGTCTGGGACTCAAAGCAGCATCGCACCAGGTTGACAAACACGTTGTTCAAAGTTCAGAAAATATAAACGTTAAAAACAGATCAAAAATTAAGATCAATTAAAACACAAAGCATTAAGAACATGCACCCTTCCCTAGCAAGATCCGGCACATATGAAAGCCAGTGTGGTGTAGTGGTTTGAGCGCTGGACTATAGACTCTGGAGAGCAGGGTTTGAATCTCTGCTTGGCCTTGGAAACCCACTGGGTGACTTTGGGCAAGTCACAGTCTCTCAGCCTCAAAGGATGGCAATGGCAAAGCCCCTATGACGAAGCTTGCCAAGAAAGTCCTGTGATAGGGTCGCCATAAGTTGGAAATGACTTGAAGACATTGTTTGGGTGGAATGGGCCTGACATGATCAACCATCAAATGCCTGTTGGAATAGAAAAGTCTTTGCTTGTCTGCAAAAAGAAAGAAAGGAGGGTGGCAGTCAAACTTCTCCAGGAACCCTGTCATCTCTCAACACATGGACCATTGGTCTATGAGATCTTATAAACAGACTCCTGGAAGTTTTAAAAGTTCCCATAAAGGGGGAAAATAGTTCTAGCATCTTAGTTTTAACTCAAAAGTTGGTTATTCCCCCCTCCCCATTATAGTAAAGTTATTGCTGTGTGCCTTCAAGTCATTTCTGACTTATGGAGACCCTACGGTCTGCGGTTTTCTTGGCAAGATTTTTTCAGAGGAGGCTTGCCGTTGCCTTCCCCTGAGGCTGAGAGTGTGTGACTTGCCCAAAGGTTTCATGGCTGAGATGGAAATCGAACCCTGGTCTTCAGTCATAGTCCAATGCTCAAACCTTGTTGTTGGTGAAATTATGAAGTCACAGCAGGGCAGCTTACCTCTGTCTTCTATTTAAAATATCTTCACTAGTATTTTATATGATTCAAAACAATTATCAATAACATTATTAATTCACACATCACACACACATAAAAAAGGGCAAAATTAAAGCAACAACAGGAATGCTGCTTACTTCTAGCTTCCAAGCAGGTGTGTAGGATTGTGTGCCTGGCTGTTCAAGCAATTTATTCCTACTTAAGAGCAGAACCAGAGAAATGAAGGTCACTTGCTCATCACAGCTAACTTGAGTCCTATTGATCGCAATGGGATTTCCTCTTAGTAGGACTACTACTAAACCAATAACATTTGTATAACCCCCAATATCCACAACCCTCACTTTTGAAATGCTCAAAGTGCATCACATTTTCTTCTAAACTGACACCATCCCTGCAAGGTAGGCCAGCCCAATTATCCCTGAATGGTAGATAACTCTTTATCTTGTGAACTCACAGTAAGAGTGAGATACAACCAGGCAACTTTGGGGGTCCTAGCCCAGTCTTTTAGCCATATCTGGATACATATTTACATGAGAGTAAACACTATGAAACGAAGCAGGCATCCCAACAAGAGCAGGATAGCAGCCAGGATCAGAGCCTGCTTAAGAAAAACAGGATGAGAAATAGATACTGAGTCAAGAATGGAAGTCCAACAGGTGGATCAAGAGAACAGTGCAAAACAATGATAATCACTATTATTCTTCCCAAAAGAAAGCTAGTAATGGAGCACTTTCAGAGAGATGTCTCTTTGTAACAGCACCTGCTTTGCATTATTAAAGTCTAGTACAGGGTAGTAAACCCAGGCAATTTATTGGGGTTTTTAATACACACACATATACCCATTTCACATCACCATACAGAAACCTATCCTACAAACACCCAGTACTTCCAAGAAAACTATACAACAGTAAGGCAGCTCCAAAACTCTGTGGTTTCCCCAAAACCTTGCAGAGAAAGAGGAGAAATAAAAATAAAATAAATTAAAATATTTGCACCATGTTTTCTTCCATATTGGAAAAGGAGGGAGACAGCACTTTTGTAGTAAAAGTTGGTTAGGCTTGGAAAAGGCTAGCTTGACATTGATCCTCTCTCTTTAAAAACCAATTTAAAGATCCAATGTGTGTGTGTATATATATATAATATATATATATATAAATACAGTGTACAGTTTCTGATTTTTGGAGGGTCTGTTTTTTAAAAACAGGCAGCAGATGGTCTATAGATTGGTGACCTGAGAATCCTCCAAGATACATCTTAAGACCTTTTTAAGGTGGTCTCCCTCCTTCCAGCAACTTTTCAGATTTATGAATTAAGGTTTCGCCTTGTTGCTTCAAAGCCCACTTTGCTAGAAGGAGAAGGAATTGAGAAGGAATCATTTTAATTCCTTTCCTTTAATTTTAATTTTAATTTTATTTTTTTATTTTGCAGCTGAGAATTAAAAATTGCAAGCCAAGGAGGGAAAAAGATGGGGGAAGTAGCAAGAGTGCATTCAAAAGAGAATAAAAGGTAAATAAAGCAAGATCCTTTTGGGAAGGCTAAACCAGGTGGAAGGAATTTAGCAAAGAGATGCAAGGGACCACTTTACCTTGCAAAGGGCATCATCCAACTCCAAGAAAGGACTTAGGAAATCTGAAGGCATCTTTTCTTCCAAATGGGATTTTGCATTAACAGGTACCCAGCCTCATCTCTTTCTTTCCCTTTGGGGGAATAACAGATTAAGCCTCAAAGATCCTGAGACAGCTCTTTATATACCTCCTGCCTCCAACTACAGACTTTTGAAGCCACGCCTTCTGGTCCAAAGTGGGAGTGGCTAAATGAAGGGGGCGTGGCCAAGAGGCCTGGGATGAGATGCTCAAGGCAAAAGCAGATGGGATGCAAGCTGAATTGTTGGAAGGAAACATCTCCAACTTTTCCTGATGCAAAAGCATGGAGGCTTCCTGAGAAATGCAGTGTCTGTAGCCTCACAAAAGGTATGAGATAAACTGGATTTCAAAGGCAGGAGCTTTTTTTTTGTCTTGCAAATGGGATTTAAAGTTTGTCCCTTGGACTGTATCTCCCAGAATCCACATGGCCAGGAGGAGGAGAGACCCACCTGCATGAAGGACCCTTCCTCAGCATCTGATCTAAGGGCTGCAATGACAACATCTCGACCAAATGCAAGCTTGGGACGAACATCATCTTATTTTTTTCTTCTTCCTCCTGTATCATTTTCAACCCTTTTACCTGATGAAGAAGCCAGTGGAGCTTTGAAAGCTTGCAACGTGTATAATGTGCATTTTGGGTGACTCCATAAAGGTTATGTGGGGATTTTGGATGATATTGTACTTTGCTATATGGCCAACACGGCTGCCCTTGGATATGTTTGGAGGAAGGAAAGTGCATCCAAAATTCATCAAACAGTGATACCTTTATTGAGCCAACCAAATGCAAAATAAATAAATAAATAAATACATGTTTTAATCTCTTTAAAATATTATCTCTCCCCCCCCCCCCCCCCCCCAATTGTAAATTCTCTGTTGTTTTAAACTGCTTTTAATCCTATGGCACCCTGAAATCTCAGGATACAAGGCTAGATAGAAAGCCGAAATATCATCATTGATTCCTTATGGCAGAAATCAAATTTGGGAAAGAGATTTCCATCTGATGGTTGCTCCTAATGGTTAGTTAGACTCAAAATGCCTTTTGGGGTTCTTCGCGGGCTCCATTTGCAAAGCTGCAGAGGGTTTTTAAACCTTGTGAGAGCCACCGCTTGGCGGAGTGGTTTGAGTGTTGGACGATGACGCTGGAGACCAGGGTTCGATTCCCCGCTTGTCCATGAACCCCACTTGGTGACCTTAGGCAAGTCACATACTCTCAGCCTCAGGGGAAAGCAACGGCAAACCTCCTCTGAACAAATCGTGCCAAGAAAACCCCATGATAGAACGGAAATGACTGGAAAGCACACAATAGCAAGACAATCTCTCTACACCTCTCATATTTCTCAGTTGTGGCTCAGAGCCACAAGTCTTTCCAAGCCCACAATGACAAAAAGAAAACCCTCCAGAGCTGTAGTTGTATGAGGTCCTGAGCCAACGGTTGAAGCCCTTCCTGTTGAACACACAAAAAATTCAGACCCGGGTGCACTATTTAGATGAGGCAGGCATCCGGCACCATGCCTCTGTTCATTTTATGCTCCTGTGCGCTCTTGCACCGTGGGTCACCCCTGCTTTTATTCTCGGTTACTTCTTCATTTCACCCAACATTTCACAGATGACAAAACAGGACACCTGAGCCCAAGGAACACTAGTGTGGCATAGCGGTTTGAGTGTTGGACTACGACTCTAGAGACCAGGGTTCAAATCCCCACTCAGCCATGGAACCCACAGGCTGACCTTGGGCAAGTCACACTCTCTCAGCCTCAGGGGATGCCAATGGCAAAACTCCGCTGAATAAATCTTGCCAAGAATAAACCATTTTAAGAGCCAAAGTGATGTTATGGTTTAAGTGTTGGGTTAAGAGTGTGGGAGGCCAATGTTTCCAAATCCTAGGGACCCCCCCCCATGACTTTAGACAAGTCCCACCTTGTTGTTGTTGTTGTTGTTGTTGTTGTGTGCCTTCATGTCAGTTCTGACTTATAATAACCTTAACATTTCTTTGCAACTTGTTCAGAGGAGATTTTCCACTGCCTTTCTCTGAGGTTGAGAGTGTGTGGCTTGCCCAAAGTCATGGCCAAGTGGAGATTCGAACCCTGGTCTCCAGAGTCTTAGTACAATGCCGAAACCACTACACCACACAGTTTTGGTGAGATTGTAACCATGCTATATAATGTATCTGCAAACCCTGCTCTTTATTTTTATTAGTGTATTAAAAAAAACCCTGCTCCATTGTCCCATGCGCTCGCCTGGCGCATCGCTGGCACACAGCATGCATTCAGATCACGCATGGGCCTTCAAGCGCTCGAGCCAAGTTGGGCCCTTTCCTGCAAAAGGCCAACCCAAGTGGCTTATTCCGCTCTCTGGGAAGAGCTGCAGAAAGCCTGGGAGGATGGAGGCATCTCCTGGCATACCTTTCCAAGCACCCCTTGCAAAAAAGAGAACAGCTGTTGCCCCCCAGCACCCCCCTTCCCCACCCCACATCCCCTTTAGAAGTCCCCACAATAAGTCCTTTAAAAGACTTTGCCTGCCCAGTTGCCAGGGAACTGATGGCTATTGCAGAGAGAGAGAGAGAGAGAGGTCATGGGGGGGCTGGGGCTGGGAGAGGAGGGCTGGGGGTTTCTTTTGTAGATTGCAGGAGGACATATGGGGCCAAGCCCAGCCTTGGCTTGTCTGCCCCTAATCTCTCTCCAATGGGGAGGAAGGAGGGGGAAGGCCGCCCTTTCACACTGGAGTAATCCACGCTCTCCCCTCCTTCTCTTTCCCAACCCATCACAGATGCCAAATTCCATCAGCTTGGTCCAAGTCTTTTGGGCAACCCATTGCTTCATTCATTCATTTGGGTAACCCATTGCCTGGGATTTCAGATGGGGCTAGGGTTGCCAGCATTTGATGCCATAGATCACATAAAGTGATGGAACCCACTCAAAGACGTGGGGGTGCCACTGCGTCTATGAGTCCGGATGAGGAATCTGTACCAAGGACAGGAGGCCACCGAAATTGGGGAAACAGAGTGGTTCCCAATAGGCCAAGGGGTCAGGCAAGGCTGCATCATATCAGCCTACTTGTTTAACTTATATGCTGAAAACATCATAAGAAAAGCAGCATTAGAAACAGAAAAAGGTGCTACACTGGTTCTCCCCACCCATATCATGTATATCTCCATCTCCATATTTATACATTCCTTGAGAGCCACTATGGAAGAGGTTTGACCACTGGACTAAGACGACTCTGAAAATCAGGGTTTCAATCCCCACTGGAGTATAAAAACCCATGGGTGACCTTGGGCAAGTCAAAGTCTCTCAGACTCAGAAGATAGCAATGGCAAACCCCTCGGATGAAACTCGCCAAGAAAACCCTATGATAAAGTCACCTTAGGGTCGCCATAAGTCGAAAATGACTTGGAGGCATGCAAAAACAGCCAGCAACCACAAATATACTTGTGTATTTTTTTTAAAAAAAAATCTATATACCATATTTTATTTCAACTTGATCTGGGAACAGCCCCTTTCAGCTAAATGTCTCTTTTAACTTTTAAACAGGAAAATCCATCCATAGATGGATGCTTCTTAATGTCCCACTGCTTTTGGGGTCTGTGTGAAGCAAAGTGGAGTGGAAAAGTGGGAGGAGGAGAGAGAAACTGGGACATTTTAAAGGCAGCTGGAAAAATTGGGAAGGCAGAGGATTAATTTGGATTCTCCCTGCCAAATCAGGACAGTTGTAAGGTATGTATTATAGGCCTGTAAGCAAAGGGTTGAACATACATTAATTTCCAATGGATGCTGGGAAAGGAGGGAGGATGTCTTTGAACTAGTGCAAGGGCAGGAGGTGGCTTCCTCCATGCCAGGTGTCTCCTGTGAGGGCATTGCCCACAAAACAGCAGTTGAAGCTGTGGGTTTGGTAAAACCCCACCATGGGATCACCATAGAATTGCAAGCAGACCTGTTTTGCTGGGATCCGGAAGTGCTGAACTGACAGATGCCCTCCACACTTTCTGGATCGCTTGTCAGAAACAGGGAAGGAGAGTAGAGCGCAGAAGAAGTGGCCTCTTGCTGAGCAGTGCAGGAAGAAAGCCATATATTCGTGGATGAAAACTCTCAGCAGCAGAGCCTGGAAAAGTTCCTTTTCTGGATGAGAACTTCCAGAATCCCCTAGCTCTTGGACACTCTGTCTGGGGGATTCTGGAAGTTCTTATCCGCCCAAAAAGGAATTTTCCCAGGCTCTGATGCTGAATCACAACTAAGGGAGGTGAGAGGTAGTATTTTTAAGTATCTGTAGAAATAATGCAGTTTGACCCTACTTTAGGTGTTGTAGCTCTATCCTATGAAATCCTGGGTTTTGTAGCCTTGCAAAGTTTTTAGTCTTCTCTGCCAAAGAGTGCTGGTGCCTCACAAAACTACCAGTCCCAGGATTCTGTATGATGGAGCCATGGCATCTAAAGGGGTGTGTGTGTGTGTCAAACTGCATTATTTCTACAGTGTAGAGATGCACCCTTGGTCTTGGATGGGCAGTCAAGAGCCATCAACTTTACAAAAGACATACTTCTGGTGGCGAGAAAAAGCATGCTGGAATTAGTTTGTTGGTACAAAATCAACACAAATGCCTTCAGTTTTTTAACCTCTCCTTGGAGAGATGTGGCAATATGGTTATGCTGAGTTATCCCATTTGATTCTGAAAATTGAGATTGACCCTGGTCTATGGTGCTGCCAATTGTAAATGCACCACTGGACTCTTAATCAGATTTCTAATTTTTTTTTCGTACCAAGCCAGAACTTCTTCCTAGTTAGTATTATAACTGTACTGAACTGAAACAAGCCTTGAAAGGAAGAGAGAAGCCTATGGACACATTGCCTTTAAGCATGTGAAGAGTGTGCTGCTCTCCCAAAACCAGCAGATTTGCTTTAAAAGACTCCAAGGCAGTTCCTCTGAGCATGTGCTGAGTGCTCCTTTACTTTATAATATTTTTGCCCTCTTAATTATCATCAGTAGTTGTTCTAAGTCTTTGCTCTTTCTCAGCCTTTGGTCCTCCAACTGCTCTGCATTCCAGACACCAGAAACACTAGCCAGAATGGCTCATAGTAAAGGATTCTGGGAGCTGAAGTCCAAATTTTCTGGAGAGCCAAAGGCTGAGAACCCCTCCGGCAGTCCATTCTATACACTTTTCCCCATGCTGCAAATCCCTGGATTCCATAGGACATTGCCATGGCAGTTAAATCAGAACCATAACACTATAATTGTGCAGTGTGAAAAGGACCCAGTTGATAGCATACCCTCCAACTGTCTCAGTTTGGGAGGAACTGTCCCAATTAATCCTCTGCTGTCCCACTTCTTCAACTTCTACTAAAATATCCCAGTTTCTCTCTCCTCCTTCCACTTTCCCCTTTTGTCCTCAGCTTACTTCAATTCTTGAAAATTGCAAATTGCAAAAGTCAGCAAATTGCACATTGCACATTGCAAAAGTCAGCAGGACGAGAGGAGAAGAGGGGTACCAAGTCTTGCCCTTTCCAGTAGGCTCAGGCAAGAGCAAACTGCAGCAGCTTCTCCTAACTTTTGTGTCTTTCCTTATTAATAACTTTTGCCATCTTAACCACACTTCAGTGCTGCCTGGTCTCGCATGTCCTGTTTTTCATCTGTGAAATGTTGGAGAGAATGCGATAAGAGAGACCTTTTGCTAATCAGGGTAGACCATACTTGGCCAAAGGGACCAATGGCCGTGATTCAGCATAAAGCAACAACATCCGATGTCCACACATGCACACATGCGCAAAAGTATTTATTTATGTGTTCAGGAAGGGATGCAATGCCCACTGCAGTCCATATGGGGGCAGGCTTGTCATAGGCTGCAAGAAAACGATGCAGCGTCCATCTGCTGTTTTGCAAACTTCTGAGTTGGCCACTCAGGTCTTGTCATGGCTTCCAGGACCTTTTGTAGGACTTCTGTACTTTAATCGCTTTTTTTAAACTCCCCATTAAAAAATACACACACACACACACACACACACACACACACAACTATGCTCAGGTCAGAGCAGTTTGTTCCACCTTGTGCTGAGTTCATCAGGAGATAGGAGCTCCGCATGACGATGAATCACCAAGAGGTTTCTATTGATTCTTGTCCCTGATGATTTCTTGGAAACTGGAGTCAAAGGTTAACCCGAACCCACGGCTGGTTTTCTGCTTGTCAAGAGCAAAGCCAAATGAACCAAAGGGAAAGAAAGAAAGAAAGAAAGAAAGAAAGAAAGAAAGAAAGAAAGAAAGAAAGAAAGAGATAATAGAGAGCTGATGGAGGACTGGGCGCACTCATCCGCTCTGAGTTTTAATCCAAACTTTAAAACATCTATCCAAAACGCTGAACCGATTTGAGGGAATGACTTCAGCACCGTCAAATAGGTTCAGCATTTTGGATAGATAAAACTCAGAGCGGATGAATCCACTCGATCCTCCATCAGCTCTTTCAGAAGAAAACCTGGAGTGGATCCATCGCTCCACTGACATGGGTCCACTCCTTTTTCTTTCCAGACAATCAGGAGGATGGTGAGGGATGGAGGAGTTTCCCCATAGCTTCTCATAAAGGCTTATCCCTCCAGAAGGGACCCAGTGATACTGAGATACTGGTGTCACTGGGCAACCGTCACCCGGAGCTTGGCAACCAGGTGTCAGTATCCAAGGAGACGCACAGAGGTGCCTCCATCCAGATCTTGGAATTATGGCCTCCTGCCAG